AGGAATTCACACTTCAAAGGGGACTCGCTGGTAATTTGACCCAGGTCAGTTTATTTTGACTTGCATTAGGATTTATTATTTGAAATACCATTAGTGCTTCTAGATTCATTCCACTGCAGAATAAACAAAGGATTACACATTCCCGATTCTGAAATCCCCCAAACAGCACTAATAATCTAACAGGAGTGAGGTGTCACCACGCAGAACAGCTGGCTGGAAGCTGCTTCACACTTGACTTACTTGGCTGAGGCGATGAGCTGGGCGTTTTGAGAGCCATCTTCAAAGTCTGTCTGAATAATAAGGACTTTATTTCCTGATGTGGCATCAAGGAAATCTCTGAAGAGTGAAAGAGGATTTAAAAGAAGTCACTAAGTTGTAAAAACAAGACATTAAAGACTGTAGAAGTAGTCACTCCATATTAGCTTTGGCTGCTGCAGGCAGGAGGGATTAAGCCACCCGTGCTCTAGAGATGGCCTAACTTTGAAAAAACATCTCGGTACAATGGAGCTAACGTGGTTTGCATCGTGCCAGTCCACTGCTTGGCACAGTGTGGCCTCGCGCCTCCCTCTTCCATATGGGTTATTCCAAATGTTCTGCCCACACACCTTGCACCCAGCTGACGGCCTGTGTGGAGCAGGATATTGCCAAACCAGACTCACCGGATGCTCTTCAGGAAGGAATACTCCGTGTCAAACTGCTGCAGCAACAGGATCCGAGGTCTTTGCGCTTTACCCCGCACTTCTCTCTCCAGGTAAGCACTGTCAGCACTGGTGAGGAGCCTCGAGAAGGTGGTGACCTGCGAGAGCAAGACGTAGGTTTGCTCGTTGCTCAGCGATGCAGCAGGAAGGCAGTAAAGACTTACTCATCTCTGCTCCCAGATAAAATAAACCCCTCGGTGCAGGCTGGGGGGGATGCAGAGGCGACTCTGCAAGACACTCACCTCTGTAAAGACCATTTGGAAGCAAGACCCAGCGTGGACGTGAGCTCGGAGGAAGTCTGCAAAGGACGTGTGTTGCTGCTGCTTGAAGTATATATTGGCCAGAGAGTCCGCCCGGAAGGAACCCAGCGAGTTGCAGAGGCGGATCACAGAGTCCGGGGTAGCACAGTTCAGCAGCGCCAGCTGAGCCTCTCTCTTCACACTGGACAGGAGCTCCCTGGGAGCACAAACTGGTTTCAGCCTCTCTGTTGTCTGCAGGACCACCGAGGCGCAGGTATCGGAGTGGTAGCCCACAAACACATCAGAAGGGCTGTATTTCTGCTTGCTCATGAAGTGCTCTTCTGTATTGGCCGCGGTGAACTCGTGCACCCACTTCTTCAGCTCCTCCACGGCTTCCCTTTGCCCCTTGTCCAGGACAGTGCTGATATCCAGGTAGTGCTTTTCCAGCCTGTTGATCAGCGGGATGGGAAAGTGCTTGTACACCACCTCTTTCTCCTCGATGACAATCAAACGGAACTTGGGGTGCACGCGGCATTTCACGCGGTGGGTGCCCAGCCCCAAGTCAACGTACTTCTGGCCAGCGAGGTACACATAGTATTGATTGAGGGCATCGTAGAGGCTTTCATAAAGGTTTTGCAAGTTGAGGAGCACAACCGTTTGGCCAGTTTCCATGCAGACCTTCACGCGGTTGATGTTCCTGCATATCTGAGTATACTCTTGGTCCTTAGGGAAACTGGAGCCAAAGATAATTTCTGGCTGTTGTTGGGCAGTGAAAAAAGCTTGCTGGAGGATCTGCAGCGCTGCATAATTCTCAGTCAAAACAAGCAGGTACCTGCAATCTCCATCCTCGCCGCTGCTGTAAATGTTTAGCCGTACCAGCTCAATCCTGCTGATGTCACGTGCGTGTATTTCTCCTTTTTCCGGTAAATGTGAGGTGAATATTTCCAGGGCGTTGACATCATCTTTACCACCGAAGTTACGAAGAACAACTTCAGCTATGTCCCGAGGTGTCGGCTCACTTTTGGAGCTCTTAGCTAAGGCAAAAAACATCTTTATGAGGCTGTAGTAATCACGCAGACCAAAGAACTCCCTGTCTTGGGCCTTGCAAATATTTTCATATGCATCTGCAAAGTGACAAAAATACTGTTCGACCTTCTGCAAAGCTCCTCGGGCTGAGCAACAAATCCCCTTGGCACTTTCTATGAGCTCTTCTTTGCTGGGATCACCACGTGAGACAAAGATGCCTCGATTCATTTTGGCAGGGTCCAGAGCCCAGTTGGAGATCCCAATGAACCCGACCTTTCTGTGAGGAAGAGGGACGTCATCTATGCAGCCATCTTCCAAAAGTGGATGCAAAGTCTTCAAGGGCATTTTGGGAGAGTCTTCTGCCAGCCCAATCTCATCCAAGACCACCACGGAGACATACTCCTCCAGATTCTTCCCTTCCTGGAATCGAGCGCAGTGCTTGAAAGTGCTGATGATTCCCTCCGGAGTGGAGAGAGGGCTGCACTGGAAAGACACTAGATGGATCTGCTTCAGGTCCTTGAACAAATCTGAATGAGCTGCTTGGCCCTGCATAGCATCGGCCACAATCGTTTTCGCAAGGGATTTGGAGCTTCCAGGCTTCCCAACCAGAAAAAGAGGGATTTTCAACTCGATGCAGATGACCATCATAAAGACATTTTCCTTCAAGGCCAAGTTTCTTGCTATGGTATCTCGGAGGTGCACACCACTCAGGAATAAGTCCTGCATCAGGGAGATTTCTTCCAAAATCTTTTTCTGGGTATCATAAGGTTTTGGAAGGACCTGGCTGATGGCGTTCCTATATGCCTCCTTCCTTTCCAAGGACGCGTGGTAGCAGACCCCGAGCGCCAGCACTAAGGACCAGAAAATGTTGTTCCTCTCGACGGTGCTCTTTATTGCCCTCCTCTCAGCAAGGTACTTCTCCAGCTCTCTCAGCAGAAGTTTACTGCGCTTGTGAAACCACTTGAAGACTTCCATGCAGCGCTCCACGTCCCGCAGGCTGACGAAGCTGCACTCGTCGTCCCTCTGCCTCATGTACTGCTGGGAAACGAAAAGCACTTCTGTAATCGCCTCTGCCTCGGGCTGCCCCATCGGGACGTGCTCAGTAACTCTCTGCACAATCTGCTGGATGTACATTTTCTCGGTCAGGTCGTTCAGCTGCCCAAAATCCCACACCAAGGGGATCATGCTGGGTGGGAGCGCGTGGACCCGGTACACGAGCTGCCTCAGCGGAATAGACCCGAGCTTATCCTTCGTCTCGTCTGCTTTGACACGGTAGCCCAACCCAGCTAATTCCAAGCGCTGAATCATCTTTGGCGTGTGCTTACGGTAAGGGTTGCAGGCCGCTATGATCTGCAAGCCCGAGGAAGAGGCCAAAGGCTTCCCCTGCACCGTGCGGTCACACAGAACTTCCTTGATGCTGCTTATAGCCTCTGTTGTGTTGGCTTCATCAAAAAAGAGAATTGTGTCCAGCCCGTACTGCTCCTTATTGGTTTTAGCAAGGGCTTCTGCTTCTTGGATCCTGGCATAAATCATCTCTGCAGTGGTACCTCCGTGAACTTTTACAAGCCTCATGTTCTCCGCCTCTGTGCCGCTTCTGCGTAGCTCGCACAGGAACTTTATAAGCCTGGTTTTCCCACAGCCTGTTTCTCCCATGATGACAACAGGAATGTTGCATCTGAATCGCATCTCAATAGCCAAGATTTTTAGCACGTTGTCTGTTGTGAGTTCATATGTCTCATCGGGGTCCATTACCCAGGGGATTCCCAAAACCATGCAAAGTTTCGCTAGCTTCTCGTGACGAGGCAGCTGATCAAACGAAACATTGAAGGGAACTCTTTGCACTAACAAGCCATGGTACAGCCGTGAAGTCATGATGTTTTTCTTGATAATGCTGCCACTCAGAGGGTTAATGGCATCAACACTATCACGGCCATGAGGCTGCAAATGGAAACCTATGAATGTCATGGACACCCGATCTTCATTGAAAAACAAATACGGGTGAGGCTCAGACTCCCACTTTTTCCGAATGCGAAAAGGAAGAAGATCTTCTTCTGCAACAGTCTCCAGATTGGAGGACTGCCTTCCCGAACTTTGATCAGAAATGTTTAGGGAGGGTGTTGCAAAATCCCTCGCCATTAAAATCATGAAGGTAACAACAAAGTTTTTGAAACCTTGCAAAGTATCCTGGACAAATTCAGGGTTGCAGAAGACAGAAGCTTCACAGTCTCTCAACTGAATGTTGAGAAACCACGCGAAGTTTCGGAGTTCTGACCAGGAGGGATCTGCGACCCCACAGTGCAGGAGGAACAGCTGCAGGCATTCTGCTGGGCTCCCTTCCACAGAGCGCACTTCGTAACGGAACGTGTCCAGGTTGTACCCCTGGTCAAATCTTTTCAAATACTGGAAAGGTCTCTGGAAAGCCTCACTGCAAAATTCCTCCTCGTCCATGCCTGGATCCGATATGTCCCCAGACTGGTTCCCAAGTGTCTCCATTACTAGTACTTCCTTGGGAGACTTGCAGGTTACTTTAGGGAACACATCCAAGAAATTGTATTTCTGGCTCGCTGACATCTGGAGTAGAGGAAAAGAAAACATGGCATCACAAAGCTATATCCTCATCACAAACATGAGGAAGATCAGACCTTGCATTTTTATGTTTCCTATAAATGGTGCAGTGGGGCCAGTGAGGCATGGACAACCAGGCCAAGTTACCAACCCGAGAAAACCACAAGACCACTTGCTGTCTGGTTTTACTGTCACTTTGTTCAACACTGAGGACACCACTAGGTAATGGAGATGCACAGCATGCCCCGATACAAACAGTAAAACCCTCTGTGACATTGGCAGTTACAGTCTCTACAAGTCATGAGCAGCTCCTTGCAAATATATGTGCAAAACGACCAAGAAATTCGAAGAAAACAGGTATTTCTGTGTACGTACATGTCTTGCTGCTTTCTTTGGCACTGGTGATACCTCAAGGATTTCAATGATATACAAATGGCACTTCTGTCGTAGCCACATATATCCGTTATTATCTGTCAGATACTGCAAAACCAACAGCTTGAACAGAAACTCTGGAATTCCACTTTGTACCTATCACAGGAAAAGACACAAAGGCATTCCCTTCTTTATTTACTCACTGTGAGTTTACAGAGTCACAGGAGAGTTGAGGGTGGAAAGGATTGCGGGAGATCGTCTTTTCCAACCCCCTGTCCAAAGCAGGCTCAGCTAGAGCAGGTTGCCCAAGACCATGTCTGGTCAGGTTTTTAATATCTCCAAGGCTAGAGACCTGACAGCTGCTCTGGGCAACCTGTTCCAAAGTTCAACTACCCTGACGGTAAAGAGTTCTTGATATTACTTACATAATAATTACAAATGATACCTAGTGAAATGGCTTGCCAAGAATCAAACGCTTTAAGGAAACGGCTTCTGCAAAGATCCACACAGAACTTCTAGGACAAGGCAGCTGTGGGAGGGATGTACTTACTGAAGAGGTGATATCGAAATGAAATATCATGGGCTTTGTCTGGTGTTTTCTCTCCAGAAAAGGCAGAAGAGATTGGAGCACTTTATCTTCATCCACTTCTGGTTCAATCAGCCTAATGGTCTTCAGAAGTTTTGTATAGTCAGGCTGCTCTTCTTGCAGTCTCTCGTGCAGCCTCTTCACATACAGAGATTTCCCTGTTATATAAAAAAGCACCAGAAGAATTAAAGCCATCAGTATTAAATGCACTGTATTAAGGTCATAACAGAAAGAAGGAACTCAAATGCTTAAGTACCCTGTCCTCTGCAAAGCCTGGCCTAACAGGGGACAACAGGTACAAACCAGGGTGAGAAGGCAGCTGACATATGGGGATCCTGTAGTTTTCCGTGATGTGGAGCTCAGGAGCTCCGATGTCAGAGAGAGCATCTTGGTGTTCAATAGCGCTTGGTGGATGTTTCTCTCATGGCTGTATCTAATCACTGTTTAAGCCTGTGTAAACCTTTGGGTTCCACAATTTAACTACGTGCTGTTCAGAGCACCACCTCCTGTTTCTTTTTCAGCCTGACAAGCAGTTTTATTGAATGTCCTCCAGCTTTTTGCATTAAGAGGCAGCCGGCAATCATTTTCTATGCAACAGCAGCAGGCAGGCTTTACAACCCCGGTTCCCATGGCATATACATTTTCCTGTAGGCATGTTTTAACCTCAGGAGGTCAGATTCATCTTACCTGATATTAGCTAATCTAGTTTATGTTAATGACATAAGTCATTAGCAAGATGAACCATCTTTAGAGATGTCTATCTACAGACGAGGTGAGCTGTTCTTACAGCTTTCACCTCACTCCACTGGCTACAGCCTGCATCATTCGTTTTGACCAGATGCTGACGACTTAGTCACAAAACCTGGCAAGGTGAACCCCACTCTGGTTACCAACACCCAGCAAACCCTGCTTTGCAGACACCTTACCCACACCAGCTCTTTTGGAAGACACGATCCCAACGCACATGTTGTCCTTGAACACAGAAGCAGCTGAGCTGGAAGGCTGAGAGACTCTGTAGTGGTGCTGAAGGTACTGCTGGATTTCGGGCAGTGGTCTCTGGGGTATCATGTGCACTTTGTACTGGCTGAAGGCAGAAGGGATGTAGCTGTGCTCCCTCTCGCAGTTGCACAGAATGACGAGGCGGTAGGTGCTGTTGCAGCACTGCAGGTGTTGGAACAGCATCTCTGCTCTGCAGCTGACATCGTAGCTCAGCTCATCCGCGTAGAGCATGGTGTAAATTTTCTCTCCTCCGCTGCAGGGAGTGAGGCACCTCCTGAGGAAGAGCTCCACTTGCTCAGCAGTGGTCTGAGGTGTGCATAGGAGAACTTCATCAAAAGTGGGAAGGGGCTGGTTAGGGCTGTTCATGTAAATAGCCAGGGCTGCCGTGAGCACCTCGGAGCGAGGGCACGTGATGAGGTTGGGCTGACCAACATACAGAAGATCCTGTGGAAAGTCTCGTGTGACGTGCTCTCTCTCCCAGCTGGCCAGATTCTTCAGCCACTCCCCAAGTGTATCGATATCCAGGCAGTTTGGAAGGAAGGAGCCCATGTCACACATGTAGCACTCCCAGATGTGCTCCAGCTGCGCGGTCAGGTCCTTCTCTCTAGCCAGCATTCCTTGGAAGTCTAGCACAGCCTTTCTTGGGCTGGGCCGAACCTCATTCCTGGAGGCTCTAAGGACGTCCTGCTCGGTGCAGTTGTGTTTTAGGAACGAAAGCATCATCAGGGCACCCTGGCTGGGCGACTCCCGCCCCAGTTCTCTGCACAAGTAGACCAGCTGCTCAGCAGTGTAGTAGTTCAGGTAGAAATGTTGGAATCGTTTTTCATACATGAAGCTTTTCCAGCTCTCCAGGAACTTCTCCATCGTCTTGCAGAGGCTTGGGAGCACAGCTGCCAAATCTCCTTGCCCTTCCAGCACTGGGATCAATCCCAAAGAGAAGTCTATAAGAACACATGATTCTCTTTCGGGTGAACAATACACCTGTGCAAGCCAGGAACGGAAGAGCACATTCCCAGCTGAATAAAGATCTATAAAGACCTGTGCAAGTCTTTGAACATTGGAAAAAATCTGTGAGGACAGAGGAGAGAGGAAAAAAAAAAGCAAAACACAACTAAGCTGGTTTACCAAGACAAGTCCCAGTCATGAAACCACCGGAAAGATTTTTCAATCAAAATAAAGGCTTTGGTCTCAAGCCAGCTGTGTCAGGCCCCGTACAGTAACCAAGACTCTCTGTGGCTTTTTAACAGCAGTATCCCCAGAAAGCCTGTAAGCAATCCCCAGCTTGCTGTGAAAGCACAGCAAACCTCCCAGCCAGGAGCATCCCCAGCGCAACCAGAAGATGAGGGCAGCCGTCCAATGTCCTGTCTTCAGCTTAGTTCCACCTCAGCAGGGAACCAAAAAGGCAGGAACATCTACCTGCCTGCTCCCATTCATCCCCAGCAACTCCACTCTAAGCCAGTCTTAAAAGCTGATGCTCAAGGCAAAATCCAACCCCAGTCTCAACATCAGAAACCCACTGGGTTTGAAATCTGACCTCAGAGAACTTCTCCACCTCCAAGCCTTGCTCTCCCTTTGTCGACATGAGCATCAGTTTGTTCTGCAGCTCACGGAGCTCTGCCAGAGAGTATTTCCATGACGTCTCATTATCCCCAGAGCTCCCCAGGAGGGTGAAGCACAGGACGTTGTCCAAAGAAACCTGCCAGAGAATAAGTAGTTAGTGCCAACGTGCAGTGAGGTTCCACTTCTGAAATAGTGCTCTGCCCAGCGAGGGGAGCATTCAGGAGGCAGCAGACTCCAAAAATCAACCGTGTAGAGTGGGTGAAAAGCTACAGCACATTTTTGAGGGTCACCAAGATGCCAGCAGTGTTGCCTGCAGGAGGGGAGCAAAAGGCAAGCAGCCTCACCGTTTGGCCATCACCTGGCGCTCTGAGAACATACACTCCTCTGCTGTTGATGGCAGCTGCCAGTGACAGTGACGACAGCTCCACGGAGCCGTGGCTCTCCTTCACCGTTTTCAGCCACTCCAAGTGCTGAGCTGACGCACGCTGTGTGAAGAGAAGACACGACACTGCCCTCATTGCTCTGACCTGGCACTTCCTTCCAGGATTATACCTGTGCTCAGGACAAAGGGCTTGGGCTGGCATAAGGCTTTCAGGATGGGAAAGGAAGGAAGGATTACTGGCCACGGCCTGATCTTTCTGCACAGCTGTTCTCTACCAACACCATGAGAGGCTGGAACAGAGTCCAGGTTGCTCTTGCTACGGAAACACGCTCTGCTGCAAAGAATAAGGCAGAGTTCCCAGCCACCTGCCTTCCCTCTTTTGCATCCTCATTCAAATTCTTGCAAGAGTGAAGTTACACCACGTCACACTTGAAAGCCTCAGCAGTGCTCTGAAGAAACCCACGCTATACGAGTCACAGTGGCTACTGTGAATTTTTGTGCCACAGAAATACATTTTTCTTCCAATAAAAAGAACTGTGATGTCCTCACACAAGGGCAATTCACCCTGGGTGGTGAATCTTCCAGCCACTCTTGGGAGGCAGAAACACAAGAAGATGTGGAGAGGATCTGCTCCAGCAGAACTCACCAGTTTCTTGGGAAGATTCTCATCACTCTCCAGGGCTCGCCACAGCTTCTTCAAGCAGTGCATGAAGTCCTCAAACCCTGACTCCTGCTTAAGCTCGTAGAGCAGGGAAGAGTAGCCATGTACAGTGTCATGGAAACATGCCACGCGGTCCACATCCATGTCATTCTCCCCAGCAGAGATGGATGCCAAGTCTACAAATACCTTCAGCTCATTGATATCTTAAATGAGATAAACACATTAATGGACAATAAGTGAGGCAGCTTTAATGCAATTCCACATCACCACCTTTTACAGAAAATGCAGAAAGAGTGCCTTTGAAAAGCACCTCCTGCGTAGTTTCCCTCCACCCCTCCTGCCAGCAGCTTTACTGGGCAATTGATCTGCAGGAGGGACATCCTCAGCCCCAGCTTCTCTCCGCGTTGGCCGTGAACAGCAGATTCACAGCCTGGATGGAAGCAGTGCAGGGAGGTGTCTCCATGTGTTTAAGACAGCTGAGCTGGCAGACACACAGCTAATCAGACCGTCAAACAGATGCCTCTGTTCTCTTAAGGAAAGGCTCTGATCTGAACAGTAGCAGCTATTACAACCCTTCAGGGTTGCAGTATTGGGACGGGCAGCTGCTCCGTGCTGCATGGGACAACAGTGACGTGGGCATGTTTAAAGGGGTGCTCTGTAGAACGTTCCACACCAAAACCCATAAGAGATGCTTGTAACACTCAATACCAGCTGTGAAGGCTACAGTAGGCAGCAGACGGGTCAGGCAGATGGCATTCCTTTTGCCCCCACACACAGTGACATCCATCCCTTTAGTGCTGTCTGCCTAACTCCTGGGCGCGCAGCACACACCTGTCAGTGCTTCTCTGACCCAGCAGACAAATTCCTTCTGCTGGGCCAGCTCCCTCAGACACCCACGACGTTTCACAGTGATCCCCTGCAGCAGTCTCTTGGCGTGCACAAGCTCAGGGCTGATGGAATCCAGCTTTTGCGTCTTGTATGATTCAAGCTTTTCTGTCTACAAAGCAAGTGGTGCAAACAAACATTCAGTCTGGAAATGGGAAATCCAAACCGCTCTCCAGCAGGGAAAGGGAAGCCCTCTGCAACATCACACCCCAAGCAGAGGAATATCACCTGCTCTCTCTTAAGAAAGATTACACAAAAGCACTTTGAAGGCTTAATTTTGATCTCAAATAAGCATTTGGGGACAGGGAATGGCTCTAGACAGACTGGGACAGACTTGTGGGAAGATTCACATTTGCCCAAGCCTTCTAGCCAGCACCCTGACAGTACAGGGCTGAAGTGGGTACTTACTATGTCCAGCAAATTTTCCAGGACGTTGAAGTCACCAGAGAGGTTTAAACTCTCTTTGACGTTGGCAATGATCTTCGCCGCATCGAAAGTTAAATGCATTTCGTGGTATTGCTGGATCTGCTGAAATCGCTGATTGACCCAGTCTCTGTCTTCTCCAGGTCTAAGGTTACACATGATGTTTAGTTCAGTTCTGATATCTTCAGGATGATTTGTGAATTCCAGAAAAAGCGTATCAACTGCAGAAAGTGTGAGACTTCCAGATCTGAGATCATCATACAACCTTTCGTAGCTCACAAAACAAGGGGAGATTAGTCTGCTGAAAACATTATCAAGATCCAACCAAAGAACAATGTTCTCCTCCTCCTCTTCTGAACTTTCATTCTCCTCTCCTGAACTTTCATTCTCCTCTCCTGCCTTCTGCGCCGCTTCCTCCCAGAACTGCTGAAAAATCAGGCTGTCCTTAAAAGAGTGCATTTTCCACGCAAATTCCTTCAACTTTGGGCTCAAGCTGTAGTAGGTCTGCGGGGGCCTCTCTCCCACGTTCACAACCGTATCTAGTCTTTTGGAGCGAAGATCTTCCACGTGTTGAAACGCCACTTGACCTACATCCACTTGAAAACAGAGACAGGTCAGAGAGAGATCAGATGTCCAGCCCGTGTCCAGCTTGCTTCACCTCAGCTGCCGAGTCGCAAGATGCCGCTGGGCACGTGGACGCCTACAAATATCATTTGACGCACAAGCACTCACTTGGATCTCTCAAGTGCTGCAAGTTTACTTCCCCCACCCCTCCTCGTGGTTTAGAATAAAACCTGTTTACAAAGCCTAGTTGTTTTCGAAGAAAATTATGTTTTTCTGGAGTTGCCACCATGAAAATGCTCCCCCCCCAACCCTACCTTTCACAGACGCCTGCACTTTCCTACACATGCTCAGAAAGGTTCCTATTACTTTTTTCTCATTTCTGAGAAGCGTTATTTCTTCTCGCCTCCTCTGCAGCAATTCCTTCATTTGTCTCTGGAGTAGTTCTTTGTCTTCCCTTAACAGGTGCTCTGAAAGAAAATGCAGCTGCAGTCAGCAAGGCAAGTCAGCAAGGCAGGTACTTCTCCCCCCACCCCCCATAACCCAGGTTTGGATTTGCAGTCACAAACCCCGCACCAAAATGCAGACAACAGGGCTCCACGTACAGGACAAGGACAAAAGGCAGCACAGTTAACTGCGGAAGGACCTGATTAGCATTACTAATCGCTGAAGCAGGTTACGAGTCGGCCATCCAGCACTACAAGGAGGGTGCTCTTACTTATCTCCCAGATGCAGAGGAACTGTTCCTCATGCTGGAAAACCTCTTCCAGATGCTTCACAAGGATACACCCCCTCTGGATGTCGCTGGTGACACTCGTAAACACAGAGTCTGCTTTGGCCATGACGTTCTTTGCTTCCTCTGTGAGCTTTTCTAGGAGCTTTGTGTTTGTTCCTGTTCCAGAAACAAAGCATACAAACCTGAGATCAGCCCTGCTTCACAAAAACGAGGCAGGATCAGTAATTATTCAGCGAACTCATCCCACCACCCTCCAACCCCTCATGTTTTTCTGACCAGGAGCAGCCGGGATCTCAGGAGAGCAATCCAGCCACCCTCCCACTGAGAGCCCACAGCGGGAACTGAGGGGGAAACACCAGCTGGTTTGATCCATTCACATATTGACACACTTTTGCACTTTTGTGTAGCAGTAACTTCTCAGAACTTCTCAGAGAAAGATGTTCTACAAATCCAC